GCCTCTTCCGACTGGGGTGAGGATGCTTGAGTTACGTCACAGGAGTACACAAGAATACAAAACCCATTTATTCGCGATTGAAACTGATAGCCCAGGGAAATAAGCATTTTTTCATGACACTCGTCCGGCCAGGCAAACGACAGTTGTTTTGAGTAGTACGGACCTCTGTAACAAAAACCTATATGTTTCCTGCAGTCGATTTTTTGGACTAAATTAGTTATTAACAAATTAAGGTCAACAAACGGAAAATTTTTGCTTTTTTCGTCTATCAGCAAAAAGTGAAGCAATTTAAACAAATTTTAGAAGAGAGGAAACTTATAAGCTATATAAAAACCTTCAAAATGGCGTTTTCAAAATATTTCTATCCTTATTTGTTGCTTAGAAAATTGCAAAATAAGTCAAAAATTTCGGTTTTTTATAAATGTTATTAACTTTTTTGAAAATAAACTTATAATATTTATATTTCATGGAATCATGTGCCTTGTAGTGCTTAAAATAGGTTTAAAATTTCAAAGTGATCGGTCCAATATTTTAAAAGTTATTTTATTTGTTTATCCCAAATTAACTTTTTTTGCAACAATATAAGTCAGAAATTTATACAGTTTTAGAAATTGTAAGGGTTGTTTCTGGTAGAAGAAGACTTGTTTTATTATCTACATAAAAAAAAATTAAGAAAATTAATTTGAAATATTGCAAAATAATTTTGCAAAAACATGTCGATTTTTTGCTTATAAACAATTAGAATAACTTTTTAACCATTGACTGTAAAAATATTATTTTTACATATTTAAAAAGCTTAAATTTTTTCACAAATTTAAATAAAAAAAAGTTTGTCCTAAAATAATTTGGTACAAAGTTAGCCTCTTTTTTTATTTAATTCATAGCACCTTTGTTTATAACAATTAAGCAATCTAATTAGCGCTATTTGAAAGAATATACATTATAGTTTTAAACTACTAAATTTTAAAATTATTGCCCTTTAATGGAATCCTCCACAAAGCTTCAAAATGTATGTAAAATCCGTCGGCTTTGAAACTTTCGGGAGCTGAAGGGAGGGGGAAGGCGCTGTTAACTGTATCTCTGTTCCTTTTTTATGTATTTCAACGTTTCTTTTTGAACTTGTATGTACTTTTTGCGTACATTACGAATATGCATTATTTCAATAAATAAATTGTTAAATAAACCACATAATTTGTTTAAAAACCATTTTTTTTTAACTTTTTTAGTAGTATTTAAGTTAAGTTTGAATGTAAAAGAGAAGTACTTGTCATTTCCTATATTTTGGAAAATAAGCCACAATTTAAGTTTATAATAAGTTTATTTTTGACGTTTCGATTTCTACTTGGGAAATCTTTCTCAGAAGACAGAACATTAATAAATTAATCAAATTTTGTTTTTGGTTACTTGGTAGAAAATTTGGTTGGAAAATTTTTCTGAACTCTTCTGGGTGATTGATTAGGGTGAGGAAGCTCAGTAGATCTGTTTTAGTAAAAATTACAAAAAAAAGTTATTGATAAAACTTGTAGACAGCTTTAAACTCGACATTTTAAAATTAGTTACATTCATACAGGGTCTTCTATAAGATGGTGGCAGACCAAACTTATGTTTTTTAAATGAAACACCCTGTATTTTATTTTGAATTTGAAATTTGCTTCACTTCCACATTACAACAATGTAAAGTTTTATTATGTTATACCGGGTATTTAAAAAGTTATAACCAATATTACCTGAAAATCGTATCAAGTTTAACTCCCTATATAATTAAAAAGGAGTATAGGTCCATTGATCTATGACAACCATAGTTTTTTAATAATTGTTAAAAATTATAAAACATATTCGTTTTCATAATATTCGTTAAATCAAATACATGGTAAGTCAAAATGCAAGTACATTATTTTCTTGGTAATTTTTAATAGAACACCCTGTATTTTATATCACTATCGAACAGTACTAATATCGTACTTCAAATTTTATAGAGTACTCCCTATACATAAAGTTATTAGTTTTCTAGATATTTTTATTTTTCCATCAAAGTATAAATTTTGAAGATATTTTAACGTTTACCAATAATTATTGTGAGTTGACCATGATTGATTTGTCAGAAACTGACAGTTTGACATTATTGTTTATTAATTCAGTATTGGGGTACATCGTAAATTAGCAACAATTATTATTTAGCAATTCAATAATTTATTCAATTTAAATTAGCAATAATGAATTTTACTACTGATGAAATGATAGATAAATATGATCTGGATATTGGGGGAATGCAATAAAAATTCATTGCTATCAGCTAGAATTTATCATGAACGGTTTCCAGATAGGCGGCAACCTAGACAAGATACATTTGAAAAATTGAAAGATCGATTTAACCGCACTGGTTCAGTGAATTATGAAATTCATGAACGAAAAAAAAATAGTGTGGCAGAGGTAAACGAAATGAGTGTGTTGATGGCAGTTACAGAAAACCCACTCACAAGTATAAGGAGTATTTCCAATAAGCAAGAACTTAGTTACTACTCTGTTCAAAACATTCTATCTAAAAACAAGATGCACCCATATCATATTCAAAAACACCAAGAATGAAATGATGATGATTTTCAGAAACGAATAGTATTTTGTGAATGGGCCTTAAAAAAAAATTAATGAACAGAGATTTTTTTTGATTATATCATATTTGGTGATGAAGCTGCATTCCACTGAAACGGTTCTGTTAATAGGCATAAATAACTTTCACTACTATTCAACAAGTAATCCATACCAAATAGTAACACATAGTCAAACAAGATAATCTTTAAATGTTTGGGGAAGTATCGTGGGTAACCATGTAGTAGGACCATATTTGTTTAAATATAACGTAAATGGTAAGATTTATTTAGATTTTATCGTACATCAGTTACCGATATTATAAGAAGAGGTTCTACTGTGGTTTCTACATGGAGGTGCTTCTGCGTATCACAACGAATTAGTACGTGGTGAACTTAATGATCAGTTTGGTGAAAGACGGATCTTAAGGGGTGGCCCAAGGTCACCAGAATTCAATAAAGTGGACTCATTTTTTTTGGGGTTACATTAAGAACGAAGTATATAAAAAACCTTCAACAAATAGAGATATAAAAAATAGAATCCGAATTGCATTTCAAAATATTTCTTTACAAATGCTTAGTAATGTAAGTAACTCTTTCAATGACCGCTTTCTAGTATACATAGATGTTTTGGGAGGTCATTTTGAACACCTTACTTAAGTACGAGTAGTTAAAATTACAGTTGTTTTTTATTTTTTTATGTGTTGTTATTTTTTTTATTTTCTGTCGGTTATTTTTTATAAATTTTATTTGAAACAAATTGTTTTCTTTTCTGTGTCGTTATCTCGTTACTGAATTAAAAAACAATAATGTCAAACGGTCAGTTTCTGATAAATCAATCATGGCCAACTCCCAATAATTATTGGTAAAAGCTCAAATATCTACCAAATTAATACTTATCTAGAAAATTGATAACTTTAGGTATAGGGAGTATTCCATAAAATGTAAAGTACGATATTAGTACTTTTCGATAGTGACTTAAAATACAGGGTGTTCTATTTAAAATTATCAAGAAAATAATGTACTTGCATTTTGACTTACCCTGTATTTGAATTAACGAATATTATGAAAACGAACATGTTTTACAATTTTTAACAATTATTAAAAAACTATGGTTGCAATAGATCAATGGTCCTATACTCCTCTTTAATGATACAGGGAGTTAAACTTAATACGATTTTCAGGTAATATTGGTTATAACTTTTTAAATATCCGGTATCACATAATAAACCTTTACATTATTGTGATGTGGAAGTGTAGCAGATTTCAAATTTAAAATAAAATACACGGTGTTTCATTTAAAAAAACATAAGTTTGGTCTGCCACAATCTTATAGAACACCCTGTAAGATTGTAACTAATTTTAAAATGTGGAGTTTAAAGCTGTCTACAATTTTTGTCAATAATTTTTATTGTAATTTTTACTATAACAGATCTACTGAGTTTCCTCATACTAATCAATCACCCAAAAGAGTTAGCAAGTCAGAAAAATTTTCTACCAAGTAACCAAAAATAAATATTGATTAATTTATTAATGTTCTGCATTCTGAGAAAGATTTCCGAAGTAGAAATCGAAACATCAAAAATAAACTTATAATAAACTTAAATTGTGGCTTATTCCCCAAAATATAGGAAATGACAAGTACTTCTGTTTTACATTCAAACTTACCTAACTTAAATACTACTAAAAACATAAAAAAAAATGTTTTTAAACAAATTAGGTGGTTTACTTGACAATTTATTTATTGAAATAATGCATATTCGTAATGTACGCAAAAAGTACATACAAGTTCAAAAAGAAACGTTGAAATACATAAAAAGGAACAGAGATACAGTTAACAGCGCCTTCCCCCTCCCTTCTGCTCCCGAGAGTTTTAAAGCCGACGGATTTTACACACATTTTGAAGCTTTGTGGA